TGTGTGTGTGTGTGTGTGTGTGTGTGTGTGTGTGTGTGTGTGTGTGTACACAGTCTGTCTGTCTGCATGGAGTTGCATCATCCTGGCTGGGCTGAAAGGCTGCTATGATGTAACTGGCAGTAATACCTTGAGACTGACAGTGGGAGAGAGAGATGGAGAGAGATACAGACAGAGAGAGAGAGGTTAATGGAGGGAAGAGAAAGGAGGAGAGAACACAAAAGAAGGAAAGAGAAGAAGTAGAGAGGATACAGAAGGCATTTGTAAACTGAAGTGAAGGCGTACACTGTAACAGAAAGAGGACGACTGACTGTGGATCTGCTCACTGAAGTGACTGGTCAAATCACAAATAGTCCTGATGTTCCAGTTAAGGAAACGTTATTGTAGAACAAGTGGAAGGAATAGTTGAAGCCTGTATTTGTGTGCGGGGGATGGCCGTGGCTCACTGGGTTAAGAGGGTTGTCTGGTAACCGCAATCCTCGACTGGGATGTGTCACGTGTCGTAGTGTCCCTGAGCATGACACTGAACCCCCAGCTCCCCGGGTGCCTATCATTGGCAGCCCACTGCTCCCTATATACAGGGATGGGTCAAATGCAGAAGGCAAATTTTGTGTATGTGTACATGTATATGACAATAAAAATGGTTTCTTTTCTTCTTTTTCTTGTGACGCACACAGCAGTCAAAAGAAACGCAGTAACATCTGTTTTGTGCTTAACTGGTCGATTGGAATCTGAAGGAAGGAAGTTTGTACATAAATATAATTTAAATGGATAGAAGAGTGAGGACAGCAGGAGCCTTCTTCCAACACTCCAGGTGTCTCTGTAGAAACATTTGAATCAGGTCATCAGCAATAGATTTTCTTCGAAAGAAGATAAAAAACATATTTGATAATTATAAATGATACTGAGATTTAGTAATGGTTTACTTTAACCAATTATTCTTGTTTATATTTTGATCTCCCTCTTGCCTCTCTGAAAAAAGGAGAGACTCCAGCTTTCTGAACTTGATGATTATCTTTTCAACTATTTGTACACAGCCTAAATGTTTTAAATATCATATGCATAAGGTAGAGAAAGGAACAGGATGATGGTTCTAAAAAAAACACCTTCCAGACACAGAAAATGCACAAGTTTAATCATTTGTGAAGAAGTGTCCCCAACATCTCTCAAAACCCCACAAGTCCAGTATTAGGTGTATTCTTCTCTTCACTCTGAATGACATCATCACTAGGATGGCTTCTGTCCATCTCTGTCATATTGACACACAGGACCCATGGACATTCAGCTGGATGTTAGGGTGGAGCAGTTAGGGGTTTGTTGCCTTGCTCTAGGGAACCTTGGCAGTGCCCAGTCAGTGAACCGGCACCTCTCCAGCTCCCACTCCACACTTGAACCTCCTCCTTTTCCACAGCCAAGTCCTCCCAGACTGAGCTACTGTCGCCCCATATGAAAAGGATTCTTACATGAAGGAATAACTGAAGCACATAACTACAGTTCTTTAAATTGTTCTCTACTGGATAACATTCAAAGGCCATTTCATGGCTAACAGCAGACCGTGTCAGCTTTATCATTTATATGTAAAACCAAAGCAAATGCTCATTTCTATAACTGTGAAAGTTTGAGATTTTCACATCACAGAGTTAGTTTGAGTGCACATGGAATTTAAAATGTGTGTGTTGACATGGAGACTGGTATACAAGTTTTGTGTGGTAGAACTGTAGTATAACTAGCATGATTAGGTATTTCTCATAGTCATAGATAAGGTGAGTTGAAAAGAGGAAACATCACTGACAAAGTTGAGATATTGATATTATTCACATATTCACACCGTCTCTCCTCAAAGGCATACATGTTGTTGCATGTTGTAGGTGTTAAAAGTGACAGAGGTGTGGAGAATGAAAGGGGAGAGCAGAGGGAGAAGTTAAAATCCTGCATACTTTCATACCCCCACACAGCTGGCCAATCACTGCATAAAATGGGCTGCATTGTCTGATTGTTTGTTCCAGAAAGTTAGAAACGCACACTATGTTTAAAGCACAATGAGGCCTTTACATAATCAATGTCTGTGCAGGGATGCAGCTCGAATCAACCTTTCAACCATCGGGGAAAACCAGTTATCTTTCATCTGGTTTCTTTTAATATTTATTCATTACTGTATTTGCAGGGCTCAACACTAACTGTTAAAAGTTGTTGTAATCGTGGAAACCAGGCATTAGCTTGTGGTTGCTGAAATAAAAAAATGTGTCTGCCATTTTTAGTCACCTTAAATTTGAGTTACATCTGTATGCTGATCTCAAATGTCAGCTTGATAGTGAAAATCTGAATGTTGTACATGCTTTTCAGGATAATTTTCTGTCCACCTCAAAGTGCACGCAAGGAAACACCAACACACGTGCTGCAGCGGGGTCATGTACAGCAGCCGGGTCACGTTACTGCAGCCGGGTCACGTTACTGCAGCCGGGTCACGTACTGCAGCGGGGTCACGTACAGCAGCGGGGTCACGTACTGCAGCGTGGTCACGTACTGCAGCGTGGTCACGTACAGCAGCCGGGTCACGTTACTGCAGCCGGGTCACGTTACTGCAGCCGGGTCACGTACTGCAGCGGAGTCACGTACAGCAGCGGGGTCACGTACAGCAGCGGGGTCACGTACTGCAGCGGGGTC